TAGTTGGCTTAAGCATAAACTGATAAACTTGATTAACAGCAAATGTTATATGAGGACGAGTGAAGAAAAGATATTGTAATGGTTCTACGACACTCCGAAACTCGGTGATGTCCGATAATGGTTCACCATCATGCACACTAATACGACGGCCACTAATCGCAGGTCTTGAAATTGGCTTGCAATCCACCATCTTGGTACATTTGAGATGATCAGTGATGTACTTGGTTTGAGTGAGATGGAGACCATGACTAGTACGATGAACTTTCATGCCAAGGAAATAATGGAGGGGCTAAGATCTTCATAGAGAACAATTGACTCAACTGCTGAATTAATCAAGTGATATGAGCCATGCTATTACTAGCAACAAGAATATCATCCACATAAATCAACAAGTAGATGATCATAGAGCCATCAAAGAAAGTAAACAAGGAGGAATCCGTATGTGATGATATAAATCCTACATTTCCAAATGTTGATAAAAACACTGAAACTAAGAACGAGGTGCTTGTTTGAGACCATAGAGAGACCAATGCAATTTGTATATATGAGAGGGACGTTGAGGGTCAATAAAACCTGATGGTTGCCATATATAGAGCTCTTCATTCAATGTTCCATGGAGAAACGCATTTATACATCCAATTGGCGAAGTGGCCAATTAAAGTGAACTGCAATGGAGAGAATTAATCGAATAGTCACATGATTAACAACGGGACTAAACGTCTCACCGTAGTCCAAACCTTCTTGTTGGTGAAACCCATTAGTGACTAATTGTGCCTTATAGGGCTCAATGGTGCCATCGGATCTCTGCTAGATTTTGTAAACCCATTTGTTTGGAAGGATGTTCATATTGGATTGGATATGAACCAAAGTCCACGTACCATTCCTTTGCAAGGCATTGAATTAATCGGCCATTTCTTTGCACCATTCTGAAGATTTGTTAGCCTGACTAAAACACTTAGGCTCAACCAAGTCATGATCAAGATTAGTAGTAAAAGCATACTTTGTAACAATCTTATGAATTCCAACTTTAGCACGAGTAACTATGGAATGGGATGATTTACCTACCTCGAGAGTAGATGGAACCGATGCACTGGAGAATGGGGCTAGTGGCAGGTCACTTGGTGGCAGTGCAGAAAGGTTAAAAGGCTAAGCTGCAAGTTTTGGTCTGCAAGTATAAACCAGCAAAAGGTGATGCGGTGCAGGTTGAGGAGAAATGGCAAGAGAAGCATCAGAATGAGGCTGGGTAATGGGTGCAGGTTGCGATATGATAGGCTGCAAAGGAGATGGTGGCGGTGAAGGAGACGGACCAATGTGAATGACAAGATCCATAGACAAGGAGAGCGACGACAGCAAAGTAACAATAGATTCTTGATATGAAAAACTATTCTCATCAAACACAACTTGTCAAGAAAAAAAAAATGCGTCCCATAGAGGGATCTAAACACATATAACCATGATGATTAAGGGAATAACCCAAGAAAACACAAATGTTTGGAACGAAATTACAATTTATTGTTATTGTACGGACGCAAATAAGGATAACATGCACAACCAAAAACTTTGAAAAAATTATATTGAGGAGATTTTTGAAACAATTTTTCATATGGTGAAAGATTTTGTAAAAGAGTACGAGCAGGCAAATTATGTAATTAGCAGTGTGAAAAGCCTTGGCCCAATATGGTGTGGGCAAACTGGATTGAGCTAAAAGAGTAAGGCCGGTTTCCACTATGTGTCGATGTTTACTTTTGGCCAAACCATTCTATTCAAGGTGATGAAGACATGTGAGACGGTGCAAAATGCCATGTTCATCTAAAAAGTTTTGAAAATACGATTAACAAATTTCCCACCACCATCAGTTTGAAAGGCCTTAATCTTAGAATTGAATATATTGTAAACTAAGTTTTTTTTTTAACTAAGTTTTTAAAAGTAACAAAGGTAGAGAAAACATCAGATTTTCATCGTAAAGGATATAACCAAGCATAACAGGAGAAATCATCCACAAATATCACATAATACTTAAAACTAGAAACAGAAAGAGTTGGTGAAGACCAAACATCAAAATGGATTAATTCCAAAGGAGAAGAAGACATTGATGTAGATAAAGAAAACAGTAACTTATGACTCTTACCTAGGGGATAAAATTGACAAAATTGACTAGAAAACGTGCCTGTAATTGGCAATTTATTCACAGAATTAAATGTTTTGAAATAGAAAACAAAGGATGACCTAGCCTAGAATGCCACAAAGCATCAGTTACACGTTCACCTAACAAAGCAAAAAAAAACCTTGAGTTTAAGGAGAAGAACGACAAGGATAGAGTCCATTGTCACTCCGGCCTTGTAAAAGGGTCATCCCCGTCCGTGAATCCTGCACACGATAAAAATTGGGATGTAAGGTGAATAGTCAATTATTATCATCGGAAAATGGTTTAAAGAAATTATGTTAGTGGAGGCTTGAGAACAATATATTGTATTAGGCAAACGAAAATAAGCATATTGGGTGCGAAGAAAGGAGTCACCAATTTGAGAAATTCGCAAACTTGGACCACTATGTACACCACAAATTTGATCAGTTCCATGATATCATGAAGATTATGTAATTGACCAGCATCATTGGTTATGTCAGAGTTGGCTTCGGAGTCGAATAACCATTGTTGCACAAATGGTGCAGCTGTAAACACATGAGAAGAAGGGACAACTGCATAAGCCTGAAGATCAGACGAAGGAATCCTACCTTCATACGACATGTTGAGACGATTAAAGTAATCAATAGCTGAGTGACCATAGCGTTTGCAAATCTGACATTGAATGCGGCCAGATGAAGAGAAGGTTTGCGGTGAACTGAAGAAGCCATTGGAACCAGGATGAGGTATGAGAATGTCATTGGAAGAGGATTACCCTAAGAAGGGGCTGCATATGAAGAATGTTGTGGAAAATAATTGTTTGAACTATGAGAAAAACCACCACCACTTGAATAGCCACCACTGCGATCACCACGAAACGAACTAACACGGCCACAGGAATAGCGCCACCGCAACCACCACGCACAGCAGCAAAGGCAGAGGTGTCGACATCTGAAGGAAGAGAGAATGCATTGTGACGTTGTTCTGCACTCAGGAGTAAAGCTTCCAAAGCATTGTAGGTAATAGGAGTGTCACGGGCTTAGGCAGAAGTAACTGTAGTCTCGCACTGGGGACCAACTTTTACTCATAATGAGTGAACCAGATTTCATTCATATTTATAGGAGAACACAACTAATCAATATAGGAGTAGGATTTACAATTCAATTATAAATATACTAGGATTCTGTGGAACTAGAAGCAGACTTCATATCTGATGAGAAGTCATTCTGCGATATGGACTTTGTAGTTGTAGTTTCAGTAACAGAATGGAACTTTGGTTTATCATACAATACAATATAGATAGTATTGCTCCCTTCCAGAAGGGTTGCCTTCAACAAAATCAAAAATCAAAAACCAAAGAAATAAGAGCAAAATTAGCTCTTGATATGATAAAATTATGCAATATGCAACAGTTTATCTCTATAGATAATTATAACACTGTTCTAAAAATCCTAGGCTAGCGCCGCCTAGCACTGTCTAGGCCCTGCCTAGGCACTAGGTGGCTGGCCACCGCCTTGATTAATCCCTAGGCATTTGAAAATTCAAAAAATGCGCCTAGCCCACCAATCTCACTTAGACAGAAAATAGTTACATTTCATTTTTTTCAATAATTTGTAAGAGAATTGATTAATACTTAGAGAACATTGTAAACACGGGAATTCCTGCGATGAATGAGACAAGAACACGTGTACAAAATAATATTTGTATTAATGATTTAGGGGTTACAATCTCTTCTACAAATTTAGCCTCTGATTCTATCTTTGTAATGGGTAGATTTGTTGATGTTGTTGATCCAAAGGGCCGTCGGGACTTGATCTTTAGGATGAACGGATGATGAATGATGAACACTTTCTTCAAGGGCCGTCGGGGCTTGATCTTGAATTAGTGGAAGTTTCTTCAAGAGTCGTTGGGGCTTGATCTTGAAGGAGGATTTTAACGAAGAACGAAGAGGGCTTTCTTGATTCTTCGGGATTTGCTTGAGAGCTTTAGAGTTTCGAGGCTTCAAGGCTTTGGTGTGTGTGAATTCTCTTCCAATTTGAGAGTAGAGAAAATGTATGTCAAGTCCTCTTCTATGCTTGATGGAGAAGCCTATTTATAGGCTTTGAGAATGAATCACCACCATCCATTTGTTTGGTGAAGTAAGAGGATGTTGTAGGTGGGATGAGTGTTTGTTGTAGGTGAAGTGAATGGAAGTTATAATTTTAATACAATTGTCAATATTTATTTCACCGAAATTTCAATGTCTACAAACACCTTATATACTTGTTCCCCATGTTTTCATTATGTTCTAATACTTAATAATCTATAAGTCATTCTATTTTGCAATTTATGTATCTCAATGCAATTATGTAATTTGTAGTATAGGCAAACTTATTTATACAATATATAATAAATTTACTTAAATCCGCTAAAACCCCCTAGTTGCCAAGGTGGTAGATCCTAACCCACTGCCCAACTAATACCTAGTGTATTTTAAAACCTTGAGTATAAGTGGTGTACCAAGCAATGATCCTTCTAGCTAAGCTTGGGTGTGCTCGATCCTCGTGCCTTGTCGAGTCCCAAGCAAGGTGTGAACGCTTGGTGGTCATCCAAAACAAGCAAGGTGTGGCCTGCGTTGGTTACGGTTGCCTCGTGGACCCCCTAGGGCTTCACACACTAGGGTCGTACTACGAGAAAAACACCATGAATAATGCTAGGAACACTAACTTTGTGCACCAAATTTGAGTCACAAGTGATGCGGCAAACGACAAACCCTGTTGTGGCTCCAAGTTCACTTGAATTAAGAAGGACAAAACAGGATCGTTACCTTGCAAGGGAGGAATGTGATCACAATCCAATCATTGACATATTGGTCCAAAAACTGATTAAAATTAGGGGATGAAAAAAAAGATTTGCGAGACAAAAACAAGTAATGCGTGATCAATCTGATATACTATACATATATAGTAAAAAATACTAGAATTTCCCAAACCATGAGAATTTGGGTCAACACCTACAAGAATAACAATCGAAAAACAGAAGAAAAAAAGAGAGGACAACATCTCTGTTGTCCAACAATTCAACAAATTCGATCGTGTTAGCAGCAGTAACTATAACGTCTCGGAATAATAATCCATCTCAGCGGACCCATGCTACAGAATCAATCTCATCCCTAGCTGATTTGTACAATTCAAGCCTTTTAGCACACTCTTGCCTCCTCTCCATCAAGGCCGGATCTTCGTCAAGCAGCTGGGAAAGCTGCTTAGCCTGAAGCACAAACCAAAGCAACAGTAATTAAAAAACAGAAGCGGTAGTAGTTATTCGTGTCCCAAACAAAAATCATTCTTAGTTTTGGTGGTTATTTTGTATTTCACATTATCATGAACCACTGAACTAGAGATGTTCGGACTTCAGAGCATAAGCTTTCACCACCAAAATTAACACCGCATTTGGAAACTGAAAGGGCATAATCACATAAAATAGTAACCAAAACAAAGCAACAGCTCCAAGCAATGCACTGATGACAATCAAAGACCCATTACGACACTTCAAACTTTAAAACTTTTCTATTTTCAGAAAGTTTTAAATATGTTTTAATCATGATTTTGAGGAGTATTATCCTATTTAACAACTCTGATAAGTCAATGAGCATCAAAAAGTGTTCCTGTGCATTTTAGAGAGAGAGAGAGAGAGAGAGAGAGAGAGAGAGAGAGAGAGTACCTCTCTCTTCCCTATTTGTATGTAGAAGTGATTCAGCAACGACATTTTAGCCTCTCTGACTTGACAATGAACAACAGCCTTGGGGATTGTGTTCCTCAGTGTCTCAGACACCATTCTCACATAAGAGGATACGTTCGATCCTATCCTCTGAAAGTGGCCCTCTGAGTAGCGGTCCACAGCAGAGGCAGGTGTTGTACCAGGCTTTCCTGCTGGTGTTGTACCAGGCTTTCCTGGGTTTCCTGTGTTCTCTATTTCCTGGGGAAGTCTCCGAAAGAAATCCACAGTCAAATATGCAGATTCCATGTCCACTAATCGAAGAGTTGTCTTCTTACTTTCATCACGGAACCTATCCAAGGCTTCATTACATGCAGCAGCTATTTCAGCTTGCAGACTAGGAAAGCGCTTCAATTCCTGAGTTACAAACATCAATATCAATCCCGTTTCTCACTAAAAGAACACTAGTTAAAATTTATAACTAACAATAAACTCCATTCACCTGAGTTTCTGCTAATGACTTCCTCACAAGTTCTTTTAAGACAAAGTGAACCTACAGTGGATTTTCAGCCAGTAAGTGATAAAAGACTGATCAAAAGTTCTGTACGACTAGACGAACTTTAAGAACACTCACAACCTGAATAGTAGAGAGTAAAGAAAAAAGGATAACTTACAGCATCCACGGAAGCTTCAGCTGGCCCTCTAAAATACCTCAGTGACCCTTCAATTAGGCGGCGGTAACCTTGCTCCGGAGCAATCAAGTGTGGCTGATAACCATCAGCCTCTGAAACCACTTTCCTTACATTCTGCATAGAAAGATGTCGATCAAATGGAAGCTTCTTCAATGCAGCAGGCAGTTGGTTATCAAAGACACCATAAATCCGATCACCTCCGGCCCGTCTAATATGACAAAATGAAGAACAAAGATATCAACAAACCATAGTAATTATTTTGGTCAAAAGAAATCAACAAATCTGATGATACTACATACAACTTTAACATCATAAATCCCTATGAAGCAGAGTATTACACAGATGAAACTATTGGCAACCAAGTACCAGCACATGTAACCACCAGGGTTATCCAGATCCAGAAGAGAAAGGATGGGTTAAAACCTACTAAAACCAATCCAAAGCCAAAACCTAAGTTACCTAATTACTAACTACTTACAAATTTCAAACCATGATAGTCCAAGGTTCTTTCGTATTAAATACTGGAACCAGCCAAACAATTTAATGCTAACTAAGCATAATACATTATATTTAGATCACCTGCATGGGCTGTCCAGCATACTGTATTGAATACAGAATACCCACATGGAGTTTACAATCATACTCATCAATCATATCTCAAGCAAGGTCAGCTTATGCCAATTTTGCTAAGGATTTGAGAACTAAAGGGAAAACAATACATAAATAATCCCCACTACCTTAAAAAGGTAAACATTGGAGGGACAAAGCTTAAACAAGTAGATCTTACCCTCCATCTAGATGCTCCTTGAAAATCCTGTCAAATGCACGGCAGAGTTCCAGTATAGTGTACAATTGGGCCTAAAATACAAACTCTTGGTCACAAACTCATGATTGCTCAAATATCATTTCATTTATGGTCAAGTGTCACAGATAAAGACGGCTTACCCCAGCATCAACGGCAACAGGCCTACCGAGATGGTCCATCTCAGATTCAAGTTCATCAATGCTTTTGTTAATCATAGACAAGATGGTTGGTATTCGAGCCCTAATCACAGCCTCCAAATGCTACAAACAATATCAACCCATCAAAATGATACCCAATTATATTCAATTGCAACAATAATATTCATACTCAAATACATTCAACTGAGTCAAACCTTTGAGAGAAGTTTTGCAAGATACTCAGAACCCATTCTATTAGCTAAGTGCCCAGAGTCAGGACTGGTTTCAAAGTATTCGCGCTCCTTACGCCTCGCAAGAACCATGTCTGTATTTTTATTAATATCTGCTTGTGAACGGTTCACAACTCCAACCCAAGGATGTTGCAGGCGATAAGATCTTCCTTCAATAACCTATGTGGACAGACATAAGAAATGTAAACTATATTTGAACATATTTCTTTGTTTCAGGCACAGAGCATGTAAAGAAAACCACAGTAGAGCTTGAAGGATCACTTCCATTAAATACGAACACATAACTATAGCATGACTGAAAACTTCTACAGTTTAAATGTAAATGCAACTTGCTAAAAGCCTGGTCTCAACTATTGGAAAGTATTAATGTAATTTACTTGAGCAATTTCTCTAAGGCATGTTACTACATTCAAAATCATGTTTTAAATGGTTATATGTGAACTAGTACGTGGTGACTATGATTAAGTATGTGCTTAAGTGTGAAGATGACTAAAATATCTATTATGATTTTTAATATGTGATGTACCATTGGAAAAGAGCGATTGTTGGAAGGTTTAGGTCATGTTTTGTCCGTTGTTTTGCTCGGGGACTAGCAAAAGCTACAGTGTTAGGGGATATTTGTTGGAATTTTTCCTCCTTTTGCTGATAGAGATTGATCTTCCAATTGTGGAGAGCTTTGGTGGAGAGGCAAGGTGCTGCATACAGCTTAGTGGTGTTATTCGCGAATATGGCCATTGACGATGATGCTCATTGGTATGCTTTCATTCTATGGAACAGAGATGTAAATTCACAGGGGGTGGCATTGCGGTGTTCCTTGATAAACATGCCAAATTCAATTTGTATATTATGACATTAGTAATAGAAGTAACGGGTCAGAGAGTGAGTAGGCAGGATAGCGGAAGTTAGGAGGCTAGTTTGATCTTGCGTTAGGAAAAGAAGAAATAAATGAGAAGATAGAAATTGTGGTTGTAAGTAATAGAGAATGTTTGAATCCTTAGAAGGTACTCATTGATTTTCGCATAATCTAAACTCTCTACCAGAATATAGCATAATGTTTAGTTGCTTTCTCGATACTCATCAAATTTCTAAGCTCTATATGTGATTCAAACACCCAATAGTGCGATCACCCTTCCCGATCATGTATCTTACTCGACTGACTGTGTAGAATGGTCTCTATATAAAAGAGACTTAATGGTGTTATAAGAGATTGAGAAAGAACAAAATATAGTTGCAATAGGCATAAGTACTTGGTTTTTGCTCTGCCCTCGCCAGAAGTTCACAAGAAGGCCTTGAGACACGTTAGTGTGGATTACAAGCTAGTTATTAATATATAAGATGCTAATTACCATGTTATGTGATTATTACATCACGCTAATCTCTCTATACCTCGTAGGTGTGACTTTGTGTAGTAGAGTTATGTAACGTCATTTCCTTTGTAATATGTAAGTGGTGGCAAATTATATACAGGTATGATCATATCTCTACTTGCCTTACTAAGTTTCCACCAAACTGACTATGTTTTCTAAATATGATGTACATTTGAGTGGCTTGTGGAGCAGAGAGATAAGATGAAGTGTTTGTGTAGGATGGTTTTCTCTTATACTCATAGAGTCTGTAGTTTATGTAGGTCCAATGAAGTGTCTACTACCGAAGGCGATGGGATTCAATCTCGGGACTTCAAGACATTCAAACTCCTTAGGAACACTATTGACGTTCATAGGAAAAAGAAAATGCCGCATGGGTATGATCTCGGTATTCTTATATTTGGGATGTTGTGTAGTGAGGGCTAAATCACTAAACTTACTATTCGCTTAAGGTATGTATGTGTCAGAGGACATATGAGTGTAGACAGTTAGGTTTTTGAAGAGTGGTGGGTAGATGCGGAAGCCCTAGGTGATAGGCGAGTGTGTGCAGAGGGCTTCAATCCAAACGCGCGTCCATCCGCTAGTCGGTACAATTCCACCATGGTGCCGAAAAACCGGATCTCTATACTGCTTGTGTGAGTGAGAGCACACGATTAATGAGTGACGTGTAAATCGAATAACACCAATTCACATGCTTTCACCATAAGAAAGCTTACTGGCTCTCTTGTTATCAAGGAGTGAATTCTGAGTGAGTAGAATGTGTGTTTAGTATTCAAATACTGAAGATCTACTCTTTTACTTTAGCTTGTATGTTCGACAGACTTTTCCAGTTAAGTAGCTTATTTGTTGGTATAATTGATACGGAAATCGCCATTGAGGAATCTCAAACTACTTGCAGTGCTGCCGAGGTTCAATGGCTTAATTAAGTCATTTGCTTTCGGCTCTTGAACTTGGTTTATCTAGAGATGAAAAGGCATGACAATGTAATTGATACTCGAATAGAACAAATAGAGATCTATAATTACATGAAAACTTTAGCTCATACACTGACACCTTGCATATAATACCTGGATCATTAGTATATAGATTCTTACAAATTTCAGAAGGCAAACCCAAAGGAGTTTCGGGGTGCAGATTTCACCCCTATTGTCTCTGGGCGTGGGTAACTCATATAGTCATATTGCATACCTTTGAGCTAATTAGAGTCTTGCTATTGACTAGATAGGGCGGAAAGCTTCCCGTTGAAAATTATATGTGATTTCGTAATGATTCATTACGTTCTCAACATAAGATCGAACCATGTTTTCAATATCTTCAACAATACTTTGAGGCTGGCCCTCTGAAAAGAACAACCGTCATTGTTAGCATCTGATAAATAAATTTGCATCATGCAAATCACATCAATTATCATTGGAAATATAACATACCGACAGCAACTTTCGTCAAACCGGGTAAGTCAATTAGGGTTAAGTTGACAACTGCCAAACGAAGGAGATCAAGAATTAGTGTATGGAAACGAACACAAAAATTGATAATGTAAATAAAACTCCAACATTCATCTCTGTGGAAAAGTGAAATATAAAAGCAAGAGAAGGAAAAATAGATTAAAAGCAATAATACCTAAAAGTATCAAAAGGGGTCTCAAAACTATGCCGCTTAATTTGCAAATATCAAGTATCGAGCTTACAACTATATTTTCCTCTGACTTAAGCTTAGATAAACAAGCCCATAATTTTCGTCTTGAGGCTCGCTCTGTTTGTGAGTGTTGGAGTAATCGCGCGTGAAAAATGATTGGAGATGGGTGAGAGCCAGAGTTTTGTAATGTTTTGTTTGTTTGGATGGTTTAAGTTGTCCTCTTGATATCCTCCTTAGATCACTACTCTCTCTCTGCGAAATCTTTTCTAATTGGTTTTCTAGCTGATTTCGCACTCAGTAAGACTAGGTAAATAAGTGGCACAACGAAGCTACTTTTATGAATTGCCTGCGCGGCGAGTGATCTCGAAGTTCATTCAGGCTTTGTCCCTCCAAACCTGATAGTGTTGCATGCATCACCTTGGAAAAGGGAGAACGTTCTAATCCTCGTTATATTTCTGTCTTGTCGCGGTTACACTGGTCACCGTATATGAAAATGAATCATTATTAACTATTCTATACAGGTCAATGTGCCCATGCTCATTGGCCTGTGTGCAGTGTTGATCGGACCTATTTTGATAATGTCGCCTAATGCTAATAATATATATTTAAATTAGGCACATTACTTTTCTATAGGTGGGAACAAAAGACTTGGCTCGGCTCGCTTGCCGTCCTCCATTGAATCCCTCACTAAATCTTGCTATCTCGCAGTGCTAATTAAAGCTGCGTGTTACCCAATGTTATATTAACCCAAAGTGCCCTCTTTTAATTCATTGTTGAGGGGTACAATCCCAGGCGTTAATTAATTGATTAAGTAGTTGTCGCACAGCCTTCTCTGGGGACTTTGCGCAATAAGTGTGTCGATTGGTTATAACTTAAAACACTTACATATTACCCTAGACCATTATTCATCGTTTAAGTGACTTTTCATTATATCATAATTTCTTTGTCATTTAATTCTCCATTACTGACCAATCCCTCGAAATTAATTGAGCACGACTAGTAGATCTGCACCAACTGTTCTCATCTCCCAACTTAGACAATTTGCTTGATTTCACAAAATTTTCCTTGTTCTCCTTTTGTGTGTCATATGGGACGCCTATAGGAAGAGTTTTCTCCTTCTTATCCAGCGGGTGCTATCTCACGTGCCAGTGTTTTAATCTCGCATGTCCACATCTCCCGGCACGTTGGCTCAATTTCAGAAGATTACTCCATTATATAGGCTCCATAGTGATCTTTGTTTCTGGCGTATGGTTCAGACAATTTCTTATGAACCTTACTTTCTTGTTAAAAGGAGTATTTCTTTATCTTTTGCCTAGCAATTATTGCCTAATCTCGGTGCATTTGTATAAACATTTCACAAAGTATCACATGGAGAGCTTTGAACCTATGTACTTGTGTAACCCTGTATAATTAATAGAACTCTTTTTTACTCCCGTGGAATTTGTAGCAGTTTACCAATATATAGTCTAATGCTGTGGAGGAAAAGCCACCGCTATCTACTTTCTTATTGTGTCATTCTCTGCCCTCCTTCATCGTTTGGTGTGTGAGTGGTGTTTCTTCTTTTTTTTTTTCCTTTCCAATCAACTGTCCTTATCTCTATTTGGTTCTTTTCAGATATATACAGATCCTTTTTTTTGTTAATCTGTCATACTAGTGGCCGTAGTATATATGGCAATATTTGTACTGCGCTCATAGAGGTGCCATTAACATTTCTGTTGTACCAAAGTCTTTCACTGATTTTGTGCGAGTACATAGGTCTTTCTGGGTCTCGAGACTTGGGAGCAGCTCTTGCTCCATAAGAAATGGGAGGTTGATACTTAATTCCCACTTTTATAGGCTAGTGGTTATAGTTGAATATATCCACTCATCTACCGGCTATCCTCCTTCTCCTCTGAAATGCGGTTAACCATTCTCCAGGGAGCTCGCGGTGTGGTGTGACAGGTGTGACGAGTACGACATGTGTAATTAGTTCTATCATCTTGCACCAGGTTGAAAGCAACGAAAAATGACAAAAAGTTTGCTCTTTCAGGGCTAAGCGATAGTAGGAAGCTCATACACAAGATGCAATGAAAAATGAGGTCTTCCAGGAGCAGTTACGAGAAGCTCTTTGAGCGCTCCACTAAACTAGGGCGTACTCAAACACGCGAGCTTCGTTTAACCCCTGTTGGACCAGTCAACCATTCATCTTGGTGGCCC